ACATCTAATTGCATAACAATAATAAAAAAACAATATTTTTAACCTACTGATAGTCGTAATTTGCTATCGACAGTCCTTAGTCTGTATGAAATGAGAAGGAACATAATGTTTTTACGTTGGGACGCAATTCGGGTAGTTGTTAAATATGGTTGGGACGCAATTCGGTGTAGTCGTTAAATATCTTTGAGACGCAATTCATGTGGAAAAGGGATTTCGGGACGCAATTCATGTGCAGCGGCGGGCAGGCCGATGACCTAACAAGTTCATTTAACCTTGTTAGTAAAAGTAACACGACTCCGATCGCCGAACTAAAGGGACCTCCATCCACCACCGGGGCTAAAATAGCAAAACTATGCGACATGGTATATATAAATATACCAATTATCTTTATGATAACAGAATAAGCTATATTAAGTTGTTTTGCTATTATCTTCAGGTAGGCAACTTGCTAATGGGTACCTTTGTCCTATATAGTATATACTATAACTAAACTTACCAAACGAGTGACCCAATTATATAATTACCTACCTGGTGAAAATGAGTCACTCAGTGGAGACGATGATTGATGATTATGTGATATAAATACTTTATAAATTGTATAAATAAGTAATATCATTAAATATGTTGTACCTATACCTACAGTATTTATTTATTATTATTACTCGCGCCCTGTTAACTGTTGTGTTATGCGATAAGCGCRCCGCGCGCATACGTACTTTTTGTAGTATAACCACAAACTTTGGAAGGCTATAACTTCTAAACTAATAGTTTCCGGTAAAAAAAAATTACATCATCGTTTTTAGCATAAAAAAACAAGTCGTTTAAAAAAAAAATTTTGAAAATCGTGAGGGGGTTGGTAAAGTGCATTTTAGCCTATTTCAAAATATAATTGCGACATATTTTTGGGTAATTTTGGCAGTTTGGGAACCTCTATCTTAAAATATAAATTTTATGAAAATGCACATTTTTCACTAATTATGTCTACAAATTTGTAATGTAAAATGGTTGAATCTTGAATAAACACAATGTGTATAGACGTTGTATCAATTCACTATTGAAAAAAATATAATGATGCTTTTTAAACTGTAATGGATATACCTTATATAAGCATACATGCATCTACTTCTTCATAGATTTTTATAATTTTTATGCTTTTATGTTATCAGTGAAATCTTTTGGTTTGAAAAATTACAATAATGTTTATTCTATCTTGGCTTAAATCTGTTGAAACATTTTTTTAAATATTTTAAAAGCATTGTATAGCAAGCTTATGGTTCTGGATTTTTCATTTTTCTTTTTAATGCTCCAATTTTGGAATAGAAATTATTAAGCTCTACATAGTCTTTGTTGATACAATATAACAGGGATTTTCTGATATTTTATAATCTTTAACATATGTATTCTTGACATAATTTATACGCCAAAATATCACTGAAAAGACTTAGAAAAATATTATGTAGTAAAGTATTTTAATTGTATTACCTTTATTTTTAAAGTTTTTCTTCTTATTTCAATTTATTCCTAAAACTTCTATTGAATATTAATATAATAGTTGAAATAGTATCCAAAAATTTAAATGTTTTTTTACCCATAAKTTTTTAATAAAAATTATAAACCATGTTAAATTTGTATTTTTGTTTTCCTTAGAAATAATAATATTTCTAAATTCAATAAAACGTTAAAAGTATCACTAGAAAGATGTGATGATCAATTGACATTCTGTAACCAACAAATAATCAAAGAAGAAGTGTTTGAATTTGAAGACTTTGATATCACAATCGAAGAAGATGATTTTCTGTAAGTATTTCACTTTGATTTTGAGTTATAATAATGATATTGTGTATTGTGTATTTTTATTATACAATAAGTGTGTAAGACAATTTAAATTATAGACACTGTATAGTTTATTTTGTTTTAACATTATTATTATAAATATATTGAATACATTTAAAAAAGTTAGTGTAGGTTAGGCACGCTTTACTGCACTTTGGTTTAAGTGTATTAACATGAACAAATCGGCTTAAGTATACCTCTGCCCAAAATAAAATGAATAAAAATAAAACAATACAGATTGTGAATACAGTGAACACTCTCATATTAAATAATTTTAAAAAACTTGTTTAAAAATGCATGTTTTTCTTTTTCATTGCTTTATTTTCAAGAGACAAGAATTAGGTATTTAAACATTTGCTGGAGAACCATGCTATCTAATAGTGGAAACCTTTTTCAAATTAATTCATCAAAATGAGTGCAGAAATAATACAATGCAATAAGCTACAATCGTTTTTAAATAGTATATTTTATCATAACATAATAGTATGGTGCAGTCTTTGATAGTATATTTAAAATGTATACACAAATAGAACTTAAGGATAAAAATCATTAAAAAATTTCAATATAAAAACAATTCTTTTTATCAGTTGAGAATTTAAAATACTCAAATATAATTAGTAATATAGTTCTTATTTATATTTTTTAGCCAAAAAATTAAACAAGAAGACAATGATGTTAAGAAAATTGCTGTTCCGCTAATAGAACAACAAAATATTCATAAAAAAAATGTGAATGAAACTATTCATATAAAGTAAGATGATAAAACAAAATATATGATATTATTTTAATTCCTGAATAAGACAATGATGTTAAGAAAATTGCTGTTCCGCTAATAGAACAACAAAATATTCATAAAAAAAATGTGAATGAAACTATTCATATAAAGTAAGATGATAAAACAAAATATATGATATTATGTAAATTAAATAGTTAGTCTCAGTACCTAATAAATCATTAACAATTTACTATGTCTTATTCAGGAATTAAAATAATACTCAAATCAGATATTATTTTAATTTGAGCACTTAATTTATTCCATAGGTACCATCACTACAGATGTTTATACTGAATTTGACTTTACTTCATTATAATTTTGTAACAATTTATGCAATTCTATTCATAAGCGTGCGCAGACATTACTGGCAGGGTAGTCATACATGATACATTACACATGACATTTAAMATGAATAAAAAAATTTTGATAGGTAACTTTATTTAACTGCATTTATCATAGTGAAAAATTATTTTATAAGAAATAATATAATGTAATAT